CATGTGTTTTTTTAGTGATTTTTAATGATTTTAAAAAAAATTCATAAGGCCATAAAAATAGTGTATATTATTATTATTATTATTATTATTATTATTATTATAATTATTATTATTATTATTATTAAGACTAGTATCTCTTTATTAGAGCACATCTGGACTAACATAATATCCCCTTCAAAATCAGGCATAACCACAGACAACACCACCGACCACTACCTTACCTGTCTCATAACTAACCTAGGCAAATTACTCCGCCACACTACGAAAGTTACCTTCAGACTTTATAATGAGACACCTGTAAATAACTTTATAACAGCTATGAATAATGTTGGCTGGCATAATGAGCTTGAAACACATACAGATACGAATGAATGTATTCACAATTTCATAAAAAGAACCCACTACCTCTGTAACAAACATTGCCCTAACAAACTAAATAATCCCTGGCTAACACCCACCATCCTTAAATCCATTAACACAAAGCACCAATATGAAAAACAGTGCCGAATGGGTCAAATAACTAGAGAACAATCTAAACCTTACTCGTCAGCACTTACCAGCCTAATAAGAAGGTCTAAATAATTGCATTATGAAAACAGATTGCAAAACATCGAAGGTGATATAAAAAAAGACCTGGAAAACCCTATCTGAAATTCTAGGAACTAAAAGGTTAGCCAAAAACAAAACAATCAAATTAACAAAATCAGACGAACCTCTACTCCCACCAACTGAAACAACAGACTCAATAATTTCTTCTCCAATATAGGAAACAATCTAGTAAGCAAAGTCCCAAACTCAAACACCCGTCCATCAGACTACCTCACAGGCACCTACCCGCATACACTATTCCCAGCTCCAACTAACCCAGCAGAAGTCTCGTTCATCGTCAACACCCTTAAGAACAAGGCAGGAGATATAAATAATTTGCCTACTTTTATGTACAAAAAAGCTTCACAAGTACTGTCACCAATTATTAAAACGCTCTTTAACAAATCCACTGAATCCTCCACCTTCCCAGCAGTTCTCAAAATAGCGAGGGTCACTCCGATACATAAAGGAGGTGATCAAGCTGACTTGAATAACTATAGACCAATATCTAACTTACCACTGCTCTCTAAAATCTTTGAAAAATTAATTCATAGACAGATCTTTTCCTACTTCGTCTCACACAACATACTAAACTCTTGTCAGTTTGGATTCAGGAATAATAAAAGCACAAATGATGCTATTGTACACATGCTAGAACTAATATATACAGCTCTCGAGAAGAAAGAAGTCCCACTGGGAATTTTCATTGACTTACGAAAAGCTTTTGATACAGTCGACCATGAATTGCTGCACACTAAGTTAACACACTATGGTATAAGAGGCCACTCCCTCAACTACCTAAAGTCATAACTTAGTAACAGAAGTCAATATGTGTACGCAAATCGTGCAAACTCTTCCACACAACCAATCACAGTAGGAGTCCCACAGGGAAGTGTCCTTGGCTCACTCCGCTTTGTCATCTACATCAATGATCTACCAAATGCATCACAGCTACTCAAACCCATATTATTTGCAGATGACACAACATACGTCTTCTCTCACCCAAACCCAGTCATACTGGCCAACTCTGTCAATGCTGAATTGCAGAAAATATCTGCCTGGATGATGACTAATAAACTTACACTTAATACTGACAAAACCTATTTCATTCAGTTTGGAACTAGAGCAGCAAATGTTCCACTTAACATAACACTAAATGGATCACCCATCACAAGACTCACAGAGGGAAAATTCCTAGGAATCCACCTAGACAGTAGCCTTAAATTCCAGACACATATACAACAAATTTCCAAGAAAATCTCTAAGACTGTAGGCATACTATCAAAGATACTGTACTATGTTCTGCAAACAGCTCTCCTGGCACTGTATCATTCACTCATCTACCCTTATCTTACATATGGAATTTGTGCATGGGGCTCAACAACATCCAATCACCTAAGACCTTTAATAACCCAGCAAAAGGCAGCAGTAAGAATGATAACAAATTCCCGCCAGCATACTCCACCAATTTTCAAAAGTCTGAATCTGCTCACCATTAAGAACATACACATACACATACTACATACACACAACAATACACACAAATATAAACCCTCCACTCAAACTTCTCCTCACCAACCTTAACAGGACACATGACCACAACACAAGACACAGATCTCTTTTTGATATACCTCGTGTCCATATCACACTGTGTAAAAACTCTATGCACATAAACGGCCCCAAAATATGGAATTCATTACCAGAAAATACTAAATTAACCTAGTCTGAAAATCAATTTAAGACTCTTCTAAAAACAACACTTACTCGCCCAGGACTAAATAATCAACACTCAAAAAAAAAAAAAAAATAATATTACCAATAAATCTCCCATTACTTAAATCTTAAAACTTGAAGAGAACATACAGTAAATTAATCATCTTGTTATGTTATACATTATAATGCCACAAATTTACAACTATAATGTTTCAAAATCGAAATGTTCAAACTTTATTGTTTAAAAAACTCAATTTCACTTCACATTCTACATTATTTTCAGTAATTTTTACCACTGAATCTGTCATTGCTTGTTAATCTTAAGTTAATTTTATGCCTGTCCATAATGATCGCCATATAAGGCGCTTTTGTACACACAACTAATATAATTTCTTATACAATTAATGTATCATGTGCAAATAAAGTATTGTATATGTATTGTATAAAGTGGTAGAGGAGGCTGAGGTTGTGGAACAACAGGGATACCTTCCTGGGATCACTGTGGTAGAGGAGGCTGGGGTTGTGGAACACAGGGATACCTTCCTGGGATCACTGTGGTAGAGGAGGCTGGGGTTGTGGAACACAGGGATACCTTCCTGGGATCACTGTGGTAGAGGAGGCTGGGGTTGTGGAACACAGGGATACCTTCCTGGGATCACTGTGGTAGAGGAGGCTGGGGTTTGGGAACACAGGGATACCTTCCTGGATCACTGTTGTAGAGGAGGCTGGGGTTGTGGAACACAGGGATACCTTCCTGGGATCACTGTGGTAGAGGAGGCTGGGGTTGTGGAACACAGGATACCTTCCTGGATCACTGTGGTAGAGGAGGCTGGGGTTGTGGAACACAGGGATACCTTCCTGGGATCACGTTGTAGAGGAGGCTGGGGTTGTGGAACACAGGGATACCTTCCTGGGATCACTGTGGTAGAGGAGGCTGGGGTTGTGGAACACAGGGATACCTTCCTGGGATCACTGTGGTAGAGGAGGCTGGGGTTGTGGAACACAGGGATACCTTCCTGGGATCACTGTGGTAGAGGAGGCTGGGGTTGTGAACACAGGGATACCTTCCTGGGATCACTGTGGTAGAGGAGGCTGGGGTTGTGGAACACAGGATACCTTCCTGGATCACTGTGGTAGGGGAGGCTGGGGTTGTGGAACACAGGGATACCTTCCTGGATCACTGTGGTAGAGGAGGCTGGGGTTGTGGAACACAGGATACCTTCCTGGGATCACTGTGGTAGAGGAGGCTGGGGTTGTGTGGAACACAGGGATACCTTCCTGGGATCACTGTGGTAGAGGAGGCTGGGGTTGTGGAAAACAGGGATACCTTCCTGGGATCACTGTGGTAGAGGAGGCTGGGTTGTGGAACACAGGGATACCTTCCTGGGATCACTGTGGTAGAGGAGGCTGGGGTTGTGGAACACAGGGATACCTTCCTGGGATCACTGTGGTAGAGGAGGCTGGGGTTGTGGAACACAGGATACCTTCCTGGGATCACTGTGGTAGAGGAGGCTGGGGTTGTGGAACACAGGGATACCTTCCTGGGATCACTGTGGTAGAGGAGGCTGGGGTTGTGGAACACAGGGATACCTTCCTGGGATCACTGTGGTATAGGAGGCTGGGTTGTGGAACACAGGGATACCTTCCTGGGATCACTGTGGTAGAGGAGGCTGGGGTTGGTGGAACACAGGGATACCTTCCTGGGATCACTGTGGTAGAGGAGGCTGGGGTTGTGGGACACAGGGATATCTTCCTGGGATCACTGTGGTAGAGGAGGCTGGGGTTATGGAACACAGGGATACCTTCCTGGGATCACTGTGGTAGAGGAGGCTGGGAGAGGTTAAGGAAAATTGACCTGACGACACTGAAGGATAGGAGGGATAGGGGGGACATGGTAACGACATATGAAATACTGAGAGAAATTGGCAAGGTAGACAGAGACAGGATGTTCCAGAGATGTGAGATAGCAACAGGCTGTTACAATTGGAAGTTGAAGACTCAGATGAGTCACAGGGATGTTAGGAAGTATTACTTCAATCACAGAGTTGTAAGTGGGACAATCTGGAGAGTGATGTAGTCGAGGTAGAATCCATACATAGCTTTAAGAAGAGGTATGATAAAGCTCATGGAGCAGGGAGAGAGTGGACCTAGTAGCGACCAGTGAAAGGCGGGGCCCTGCATCCACAATTAGGTGAGTACAGTTAGGTGAGTACACACACACTTAACTAAACACTAATTTGCATGACAAGTGAGGAATTAGGCAGCAGGTGGCGCCACTCACCAACACAGTTGGCGCCACTCACCAACACAGTTGGCGCCACTCACCAACACAGTTGGCGCCACTCACCAACACAGTTGGCGCCACTCACCAACACAGTTGGTGCCACTCACCAACACAGTTGGCGCCACTCACCAACACAAGTGGCGCCACTCACCAACACAGTTGGCGCCACTCACCAACACAAGTGGCGCCACTCACCAACACAAGTGGCGCCACTCACCAACACAGTTGGCGCCACTCACCAACACAAGTGGCGCCACTCACCAACAAAAGTGGCGCCACTCACCAACACAAGTGGCGCCACTCACCAACACAAGTAGCGCCACTCACCAACACAGGTGGCGCCACTCACCAACACAGTTGGCGCCACTCACCAACACAGGTGGCGCCACTCACCAACACAGGTGGCGCCACTCACCAACACAGTTGGCGCCACTCACCAACACAGGTGGCGCCACTCACCAACACAGCTGGGTCAGGTGGTCAGTAGCTGGTCAACACTGGGAGGGAGCAGACACACTCTCTCACCAGGCTCGTCTCACCATTATAAAGTGTTGTGTTCTAATACTTACTGACCACTTATCACTTTACATACTTATAAACAATCAAGTAGTAATTCTTATAGATATTCCAGCGAGTTAATTGTGAAAAATAAAACCAGTATTGACGGTAAACAGAGTTGTATTGACAGAAAATGGGCGTGTTTCAAAATTAATCCGAATCCGTCTTGAGTGACGACACTCTCACGAACGTAAACATAAGTGGTTACCTTGGCAGCCGGGAGCATAGGGGCCATAATTGAGTGTTTTTTAACCCCGCTTGTGAGATTTTGGTCATCTTGAGGCTGCAGAACCATTGTTTCGCTCATTGGGGACCACTATATATGCATAAGTAACAGCTAGAAGGTGTTAAAAGGTGTTTTAATTATCAGAGTGCCGGCCCTATTCCTCTGAGTGCTGTCACATGTACGCATTGTACTGGCACCTTTGAATGAGGCCAGGAATTCTGCCTGAGGTGCCATTGTGTACTACGATTTGTTTTATTAATCACGAAAGCTTTTAAGCTGAAGCTTTAAGCTGTGTATGTGTAGTGTTAGCATGCCAGAGTGTCGTGTTGGAGGAGAAACTGAAGTAATTGTTTAAAGCTATGGCAGACGTCGCATTTAGTGAATCCAGTCAAGCACACATGTCTATTGTAACCCATGACGGCCCCCAGAACACGGGGAGCAACGCCCCCGGCAAGCCGAACCGAAAACCCCGCCTCAGGAGAGTCAAAATAGGGGATCCCAAGGCAAGAAGAACAAGAGAAGAGAAGAAACCTCCTTCAGTAGCTGAGAAACCACCTCTCCACAAGGATTACCTCTCCGAGCAGAGAAGCAAGAGACTGGGCAAGCAGAGACCGAAAGGTAAACACGAGGGAATAAAGAGAAATAAGGAGAACAGGTCAAATGAAGTGGTAAATGTAGAGAAGGAACAAGAGGTTACGAGAGAAACAACGAGAGGTTTGTCAGCTGGAAGCAACACAAGCAAAGATGAGGGGATAAGTAGCAACACAGAGAAAGATGAAGACTTCGAAGCAGAAGGAGAAAGCGAAGTCAAAACTGATAACAAAAGGGTGGATGACGTAGATGATGATGAGGGAAGAGGGAGCATAAACGGAGAAGAGGAACTAATGGAGCCTGGACACCATCTGTCAGATACGGAAACAAACAATGTTGCGGGTAATAATGACGAGAAGGATCCAGAGACTATAAATGCTGATCCTCAAGTAGATAATGTAGAGGCAGCGGGGGAAAGTAAGGCTGAAGAAGACAACGCTGGTTATCATGGAGATATGTATGAACCAAACTCGTTAGCAGCAAGCTTCCAGGACTCCCTGGAACAGTCTAACAGTCTTCTCTTGAGTTCTACTGTCAATTCATCAGTGGAAGAGGAGACTGGAGCAGCTGAAGAACCTGCAGAAGCAAGCAGCAATGAACCAGTCGAGGAAGAAGTCTTGAACGAAGCGCAAGACGACAGCGCAGGTGGAAAATTGGATGATTCTCAAGAAGTGGCAGACACTGGAACATCTAGTGAAGATAGAGAGACTAACGTACAAGACGCTAACGAGGAAGTGACGAAGGAAAGTGAGGAACAAGAGGCAACGAAGGAAGTGGATGCTGCTGAGAATGCTGACGCAGAGACACCTATTCAAGATGAGGCAGAGGAACCTACACAAGATGCTGAGACAGAGGAACCTACACAAGATGCTGAGACAGAGGAACTTACACAAGATGCTGAGACAGAGGAACCTACACAAGATGGTGAGACAGAGGAACCTACACAAGATGGTGAAGCAGAGGAACCTACACAAGATGGTGAAGCAGAGGAACCTACACAAGATGGTGAAGCAGAGGGACTTATGCAAGATGCTGCTGAGTCAGTAGACGAAATAGGTGGTGCTCCAGTAGAAGAACAGACCGTAGAAGGAACAAGTGGCAATGATGAAGACGAGGCAACAGAAGAAACAGATGCTGCTGTTGTTGCTAATGAAACGGAGAACAACGAAGTAACAGCTGATAACCAAACAGATGCTGCAACAGCAGACGCCAGAGAGGAGAACCTAAATGAACCAAAAGAATCTCAAAAGGAAGAAGAAGAAGAAATTAAAGAGGTGGCAGCCATTGCGAACCTTCCAGGCAGTTATAAAGGCAAAAGAAAGATTGCCCCAAGAACCATGAAACGTGAACCTGACGTTCAGAAGATACAAAGAACAAAACAGCCTGACAAAAACAAGGTTATACTCAACAGGAAACCAATTTCCTGGAGGCCTACGCCAGTTCTGGCCTCAACACGTCCTGAAGTGCCCAAACCAAAGAAAAATATTTTACCGAATACGAAATTTAAGGCCAAACGGCTGGTAAAAAAAACAGGAGAGGAACCAGTGATCAATATTGAGGAATATCACAGTGGTAGTACACCAGGGGATGCTTTGAATCTCCCTCCAGTGAATATTTCCGCTGCAGGGGACCTGGAGGTACCTCCAGCACTCAACACCTTCAGATCAGAGGGCCATCACGATGAATCTAGCGTAGACGATACCTCCACCATCGTAACTAAAGCCGAGTCTATGCCTGAGATACGATACCAGGACCTCACTCGCCCCAACACTGCCGGGAAGAAGAATAAAGTCGCCAAGAGGAAAAAAGGTGTTTCAAAAATAGCTCCTATTTTCAACAGAACGAATACCTCGGCGAATGCTCCTCCAGGTGGCTCTACAAGCGAGGTATGGGTTCCAGAGGAGGAGAAACTCTACATCTACAGCTACAGTTCTCAACCTAGACTTCTACATGTTCGTAGGATGGGTGCTGGGAGAGTTGCCACCACACACCAGTGGGATCAAGACCCAAATTCTTCTTTTAGACTTAAGCTCAGGTAAGACTTAAATATCTTTCCTCTTAATACACTTGGTTTTACGCTCTTACATCTGCTTTGTGATGACATATTCGTTTTGCTACTGTTACTATGTGTGTGTATTGTGTACTCACCTATGTGGCCGCAGGGATCCGATTCATAGCTCCTGGCCCCACCTCTTCACTGGTCGCTAATTAGGTCTACTTCCTGCTCCAAGAGCCTTATCGTATCCACTTCCTGACAGTTCTATGGCTGAAGAAATATTTCCTAACATCCCTGTGACTCATGTGACGTGTTGACTTTCAGTTGTGACCCCTTGTTGCTGTGTCACATCTCTGGAACATCCTGTCTCTGCCCACCGTTGTCAATCCCTCTCAATATTTTATATATTGTTATCATGTCCCCTCTATTCCTCCTGTCTTCCAGTGTCGTCAGGTTTGAGTTCCTTAGCCTCTCCTTGTAAGCTCCGGGACTAGTATTGTTACAAACCCTTGCACGTTCCTCCAGTTTCTTGACATGCTTGACCAGGTGTGGGTTCCATACTGGTGCTGCATTTATTCTTACCTGTGTGGGTACAGGGATCGAGTCACAGCTCCTGGCCCCGCCTCTTTGCTGGCCACTACTAAGACCACTCTTGCTTCGAGAGCCGTATCGTACCTCTTCTTAAAGATATGCATGGAATGTGTGTATGTGTGTGTGTGTGTGTGTGTGTGTGTGTGTGTGTGTGTGTCCACTGGGCAGGTCTCAAGCATGACTCAGTCCTGTCGTGTCAGTAATACTCTGATAAAATATAAACCATTTCTCAGAATGTCAGACTCGCTGTGTTCGGTAAACACCGCTCAAGGTGAAGCCTGAAACAGTTATGTAATATATATATATATATATATATATTATATATATATATATATATATTATATATATATATATATATATATATATATATATATTTATATATATATATATTAGCACATCGGCCGCCTCCCACCAAGGCAGGGTGGCCCGACATAAAGAAAAACTTTCACCATCATTCACTCCATCACTGTCTTGCCAGAGGGCTGCTTTACACTACAGTTATAAAACTGCAACATTAACATCCCTCCTTCAGAGTGCAGACACTACTTCCCACCTCCAGGACTCAAGTCCGGCTGACAATTTCCCTGAATCTCAATATCATGTCATATCATTTAAAACATTTCCCTTCACTCACTCCCATCCAAAATGCTCATATATGCTTGCTTGAAGTCCAAGCCCATCGCACACAAAACCTCCTTTACCCCCTCCTTCCAACCTTTCCTAGGCCGACCTCTACCCCGCCTTCCCTCCACTACAGATTTATACACTCTCAAAGTCATTCTATTTTGTTCCATTCTCTCTAAATGTCTGAACCACCTCAACAACACCTCCTTAGCAGTATGGATAATACTTTCAGTAATCCCGCACCTCCTCCTAATTTCCAGACTACAGATTTTCTGCATTATATTCACACCACACATTGCCCTCAGACAAGATATCTCCACTGCCTCCAGCCTTCTCCTTGTTGCAACATTCACCACCCATGTTTCACACCCATATAAGAGCACTGGTATAACTATACTATCATACATTCCCTTCTTTGCTTCCCTGGACAAAGTTCTTTGTCTCCACAGACTCCTCAGTGCACCACTCACCTCCTCAGTGCACCACTCACCAGAGTGTATCTTAGGTGAACATTTGTGCATCCTCTAAGGTTGGTTAATAGAGTTTGAAGTCTATCTACTGAACCAGGGTCATTAAGACTGCAGGTCACCTATACGCCACCACTCAAGAATACTTTAATACCTAAAATACTGATTAATGTAAATTACCAGTGTATATACACTGAGATATACACCTCTCAGTATATATACACTTGAATATACATTGCTCAGTATATATATATATAATATATATATATATATATATATAATAATATATATATAATATATATATATATATATATATATATATATATATATATATATCACTGAGTCGAATATACAGGAGTATTATTAAACAACTGTCTGTATATAATATTGTGTAAGTGTGTATATACACATCACTGAGTACATTTACACAGTCACGTGTACGTGTAAGTCTCCCACGTACACAAACAAGAATGCCGTGTGCACCTCCTATGTACGTGTACATCCAAAAAAAACACGCACACATGTGCGTGTAAGTTCCGCTTCTCGGGCAAGGTAATAATTGACTTAGATAAGGTAAAACGAAGATAAACGAAGTAAGTGATGTAATTAACGAAGGAGGTAGAGAGAGAGAGAGAGATAATTACAGAGCCAAAGTGGAAAATATATCTCGTTCAACAAGTAACGAGAGGGTTAACGAAAGGATCAAAAAAAATGTTTAACGAATTAAAAAATGCTTAACTAAATGTTTAACGAAAGGTTCAAAGAAAGATTTAGCGACAGGTTTAGTGACAGGTTTAAAGAGTGGTTTAACGAGAAATTTAATGAGAGTTTTAATCAGAGGTTTAAGAGGCGTTTAACGACAGGTTTGATGAAAAGTTTAACGAAAGATTTAACGAAAGGTTTAATGAATGGTTAGAGAGAGGTTTAACGAAAGGTTCAAAGAAAAATTTAACGATAGGTTTAACGAGAGGTTTAAAGGAAAGGATTAAAGGAGGTTTATCGAAAGGATTAACGACAGGTTTATCATAAGCTTTAACTAGAAGTTTAACGAAAGGTTTAACGAGATGTTTAACGAATGGTTTAAGAGATTTAACGAAAGGTTTAACAGAAGAATTATAAAAGGTTTAGGGAGAGGTTTAAGGAGTGGTTTAAGACCAGAGTGACCTGGGTTAAACACCCTGGTGTTAGGCCTATAACACCCTGGTGCTAGGCCTATAACACCCTGGTGCTAGGCCTATAACACCCTGGTGCTAGGCCTATAACACCCTGGTGCTAGGCCTATAACACCCTGGTGCTAGGCCTATAACAACCTGGTGCTAGGCCTATAACACCCTGGTGCTAGGTCTATAACACCCTGGTGTTAGGCCTATAACACCCTGGTGCTAGGCCTATAACACCCTGGTGCTAGGCCTATAACACCCTGGTGCTAGGCCTATAACACCCTGGTGCTAGGCATATAACACCCTGGTGTTATAGGCCTCATCAGAAACTGCACCCCCACAGAAACCCCCATAGTTCCCCACCAAGTCTCCTGCTCCCCGCAACCCCAATGTTCTCCCCAGACCACTGTTTTAGAAAAGAAGTTGAAGGTTTGGTACATGAATGCAGATGGAATAACAAATAAATGTGAGGGGTGGCATGATAGAATCAAGGAGACATCCCCAGACATCATAGAACATACAGAAACAAAACTAACCGAGGTGATAACAGGAGCAATCTTCCGACCCGGATATCAGATCCTGAGGAAAGATAGAGGGAGCAGAGGGGGAAGAGAAGTTGCACTGCTCATTAAAAACTGATGGGGATTTGAGAAAGTGGATGGAATGGACGAAATGGGCGAAAGGAACTATATAGTAGGTACAATTCTGGGAGGCACAAGGTAGTCATTGCAGTGATATACAACCCACCAATGAAGTGCAGGAGGCTAAGACAAGAATATGAAGAAAGCAACAGATCAATGGTGGATACACTAGCTGAGGTGGCCAGAAGAGCCCACATGGGGAGAGCAAAGTTACTAGTCATGGGCAATTTCAATCACAAGAAAATTGATTGGGAAAACCTAGAGCCACATGGAGCTCCCAAAACATGGAGAGCCAAGTTGATGGATGTGGTACTGGAAAACTTCATGCATCAACATGTTTGGGACACTTCCAGAGAGAGAGGTGAGGATGAACCAGCAAGACTGGACCTCGTATTCACTCATAGTAGTTTGGACATCGAGGACGTTACATGTGAAATACCCCTCAGAGCTATTGATCACATGGTTCTGAGCTTTGAATATATACTAGAGTTACAAGTAGAGAGGGTAATGGGAATAGGATGGGAGAAGCCAAACTACAGGCATGAGGAACTTCCTGCAGGAGATTCATTGGGAAAGAGAATTGTAGGAAACCCAGTAAACGAAATGATGGACTATGTGACAACAAAATGCAAGGAGGCAGAGGAGAGGTTTGTTCCCAAGGGCAACAGAAATAAAGGGAAGATCAGAACGAGCCCCTGATTTACCCAAAGGTGTAGGGAGGAAAAAATTAAGTGTGCCAGAGAATGGAAAAGACAAAGGACCTAGGAAAATAAAGAAATTGGTTGAGCCAGAAACGAGTATGCACAGATAAGGAGGTAGGCCCAGCAACAGTATGAAAATGACATAGCATCAAAAGTCAAGTCTGACCCGAAGGTGTTGTATAGCCACATCAGGTGGAAGACAGCAGTCAAGGACCAGGTAATCAGGCTGAGGAAGGAAGGTGGGGAGCTTATAAGAAATGACCAAGAAGTATGTGAGGAGCTCAACATGAGATTTAAGGAAGTATTTACAGTGGAGACAATAAGGACTCTGAGAAGTCAGATCAGGAGGGTACACCAACAAGGGATATTCCAACAGGTGCTGGATGAGATACACACAACCGAGGAGGAGGTGAAGAAGGTGCTAAATGAACTTGATACCTCAAAGGTGGTGGGACTGGACAGCATGTCTCTGTGGATCCTTAAAGAGGGAGTGGAGATGCTGTGTGCGCCACTAACAACAGTTTTCAAAACATCCATTGCAACTGGGAAAATACCTGAAGTATGGAAGATGGCAAATGTAGTCCCCATTTTTAAAAAAGGAGACAGAAACGAGGCACTAATCTATAGACCAGTGTCCCTGATGTGTATAGTATGCAAAATCATGGAGAAGATTATCAGGAGGAGAGTGGTGCAGCACCCGGAAAGAAACAAGTGTGCAATCGGCAACCAGCATGGATTCAAGGAAGGAAAATCCTGGGTCACAGACCTACTGGAGTTTTATGACAAGGTAACTGCAGTAAGACACGAGAGAGAGGGGTGGGTAGACTGCATTTTCTTGGACTGCAAGAAGGCCTTCAAAACAGTTCCTCACAAATGATTAGTGCAAAAGCTAGAGGATCAGGCATGCATAACAGGAAGGGCACTGCAGTGGATCAGAGAATACCTGACAGGGTACGTGACGAGGTATCACAATGGGCACTGTGACGAGCGGGGTTCCACAGGGGTCGGTCCTAGGATCAGTGCTATT